CAAGGAACATTCCTTTTCTCTCAAATGTGACTTTGTAATAGTTCAGGAAGAATTGATGTGCCTTTTTAAAATAAGCAGTGCCATATGATCCTGGTGGGTTTAGCGCTTACTTTTGATTATAATAAGAAACCCCATAGGGTGTCAGTGCTAAAATGGCTCAAATTTCCCGCTTCAGATTATGGGTTGACAAACACCCCACATTACAGAGATGCCTCTATCCCAGAGAAGGTCTCAACCTCCCATTTTCCCCAGTTATACTAATGTAGCGCTTCCCTTATTGAATATCTTCCATTCCCCACCAAGAGCTATATAACCCCTACAGGTTGAGCTCTTCTGCATAACACTAATATGGAGGCTTGACTGCTTCAGACAGAATTGTTAACATATATTATTATTATTATTATAATCAAAAAGAAGCGCTAAGCCACAAGGGGTTTACAGCTGTTAACATATAACACAACACAGATTGCTGACCTTTACATATACTGTATGGAGGGTTTCAGTCCACAAAAAGGGACTACACAAAAAATATATTACCAAGCTCATTCCTGGACTGAAGGCAGATTTAGCCTGGGACACTTGTGCAGGTTTATAGATATAAGTAGAAATGTCTGTTTAATATTACAGAGGCTGTCACGAAAAAAAAAAAAATGCAAAATTCCTTTACACGAGTATCAAGGTCTGTCAATTTGTGGTGGGCTTTTGAATCTTTTGGTTACCATACGGTCAGTTTATATACATATATAAATGGGTTGCTAAAGAGTAGGACAGAGAACCAAGAGACTAGTGGATGAGCCTGGGAAGGAAGATTGGGTAGCAGAGCTCATGGAAAGGGAAGAAGAGTGGGGAATGAAGCTAGAAAAGCTTAGCAAGAAAATGGAGGAGAGAATAGCTGCAGAGCAAGAATGGGAGCTATAAGCAACAGCAGCAAAAGCTAAGATACAGCTTAAAAAAAGTACTGAAAAATCTGAAACAGTCCAAAGAACTAAAGAATGATACATGCGACATCAGGAACTGCTACATCAGTTACAAACAAGGGGACTGTAAGGACTAAAAGAGTTATACTTTGTTGAGGCTCTATGAGACTACCATAGAGCCCAAGAAAAGACAAGAAGCACACCAAGATCAAATGAGGGGACTGACGAAAATGGAGCTAAGCTATATGCAGAGGCCCTAACAGACCACAGAAGTGCCCAAGAAAAACTGAGAAGGGAAAATGACAGACCACTGAGCACAGGGACATCAGACAGAGAAGAGATTGAAAGAACGCTGCAATGAAGGCAACCAAATCGACTCGGGGGATGCAAAGGAAAATGCAGTGAAAGGACAAAAGGGAGAGGTCAGTTTTTGTTTATGGGCTCCAGGAAGTTGAATGGGAAACTTATGAAGCAAGAAGACAGGATAAAAAAGTGAATGAAAGTATCATGAAACAGAAGAGGACAGCATGAACCAGTTGACAAATTTTCTGAGAATAGGGTGGTTTACAACAAGAAAAAACTGGCCAAAGTGATATTCAAGGCAGAATCAGCTCAAAGCAGGATCCTGCCGGAGAAAGCATGGCTAAGGGACATACCGGAGGGTGTACCTCAACCACAACAGAACATAATTAACTGAAAGAGGGTACAAAGATGCAAGGAGGAAAGAGAGGCAACGAGAGATGAGCAGGAGAACCCAGACTTGGGAGGAAGAGCAAATACAACCTCCCTCAGAACCACCTACAGGACCTCAACCACAACCCAAATGCAACCTGTCTAACCTAAACCCACAGACCGTACCCACTCCCCTCATCACAAACTCCACCCCTACAGCAACCTCCCATAGTTCCCTGCCAGGTCTCCCACTCCCCCAACCCTAACATTTTCCTCAGACCACAGTTTTAGAAAAGTTGAAGGTTTGGTATATGAATGTGGATGGAAAAACAAATGTGGGGAGTGGCATGAAAGAACCAAGAGCATCATAGCACTCACAGAAACAAAACTCATCGGGATAACAGACACAATCTTCCCACCCGGATATCAGATCCTAAGGAAAAATGGAGGGAGTAGAGGGGGAAGAAGAGTTGCACTGCCCACTGAGGAAATGGAAGAATGGGCAAAAGGGGGGAACAGTCATTGCAGTGATGTACAACCCACCACAGAACTGCAGGAGGCCAAGAGAAGAACATGAGAGCAACAGAGCAACGGTGGATATACTAGCTAAGTTGGCCAGAGCTCACATGCATAGATCAAAGTTACTAGTTATGGGTGATTTCAATCACAAGGAGATTGGGAAAATCTGGAGCCACATGGGGGTCCCAAAACATGGAGAGCCAAGATGATGGATGTGGTACTGGAAAACCTCATGCATCAACATGTTAGGGACACTGCCAGAGAGAGGCAAGGATGAACCAACAAGACTGGACCTCGTATTCACCGAGTAGCTCGGACATCGAGGGCATCACATATGAAAGCCCCCTTGGAGCTAGTGATCATGTGGTTCTGAGCTTTGAATACACAGAGTTACAAGTAGAGAGGGTAACAGGAGTAGGATGGGAAAAGCCAAACTACAAAACAGGGGACTACACAGGCATGAGGAACCTCCTGCAGGAGGTTCAATGGGAAAGAGAATTGGTAGGAAAATAAGTAAAGAAAATGGACTATGTGACAAGAAAATGCAAGGAGGCAGAGAAAAGGTTTAAGTGCAACAGAAATAATGGGAAGATCAGAATGAGCCCTTGGTTTACCCAAAGGTGTAGGGAGGCAAAAACTAACTGCACTACAGAACAGAAAAAGTACAGAAGACAAAGGACCCAGGAAAATAGAGGTTAGTCGGAGAGCCAGAAACTAGTATGCACAGATAAGGAGGGAGGCCCAGCGACAGTATGAAAACGACCTAGCATCTAAAGTCAAGTCTGACCTGAAGGTGTTGTATAGCCTCATCAGGAGGAAAAAAAACCCACCAAGGACCAGGTAATCAGGCTGAGGAAAGAATGTAAGGAGCTCACAAGAAACGACCAAGTAGTATTTGAGGAGCTTAACGTGAGATTTAATTATTTACAGTGGAGACAGAAAGGACCCCAGGAAGTCAGAATAGGGGGGTACAACAAGGAAGCAGAGATGCTGTGTGTCCCACTAACAACAGTTTTCAACACATCCATTGAAACTGGGCAAGTACACGAGGTATGAAAGATGGCAACTGTAGTCCCCAGTGATAAGAAAGGACACAGACATGAGGCACTAAACTACACCCCTCGAGGGAGGTTCCTTAACGCTGGTGAGGGGCTCTTGATCTAGGGAATTGGATGTGCTCCAGTTCCCTGAATTGAGTCTGAATACCTTCCATTCTACCCCTCCCCCCACATGCCCAGTGTCACTGACGTGTATAGTATGCAAAAGTCATGGAGATTATCAGGAGAGATGGTGGAGCACCTAGAATAGAACAAGCTTATAAACAACAACCAGCACGGATTCAGGGAAGGAAAATCCTGTGTCACATACCTACTGGAGTTTTATAAGGTAACGGAAGTAAGACACGAGAGAAGGGGTGGGTAGATTGCATTTTCTTGGACTGCAAAAAGGCCTTCAACAGAGTTCCTTGCAAGAGATTAGTGCAAAAGCTAGAGGATAAGGCACACATAACAGGAAGAGCATGCAATGGATCAGAGAATACCTGACAGAGGCAACAACGAGTCATGGTACATGAAATGTCAGAAAGGGCACCTGTGACAAGCGGGGTTCCACAGGGATCATTCCTAGGACCAGTGCTATTTTTGGTATATGTGAATGACATAACTGAAGGGATAGACTCTGCAGATGATGTGAAGTTAATGAGGATAATTAAATCGGATGAGGATTAGGCAGGACTACAAAGAGACCTGGACAGGCTGCGAGCCTGGTCCAGCAACTGGCTTCTCGAATTTAACCCCGCCAAGTGCAAAGTCATGAAGATCGGGGAAGGGCAAACAAGACTGCAGAGTATAGGTTAGGTTTACCTGGAGTGTGTTTTGGGGGTCGACGTCCCCAGGGCTCGGTCTGAGACCAGGCCTCATGGTGGATCAGGGTCTGATCAACCAGGCTGTTACTGCTGGCTGCACGCAAACTGACGTACGAATCACAGCCTGGTTGGTCACATACTGACTTTAGGTGCCTGTCCAGTGCGTTCTTGAAGATTACCAATAGACCCCTGGCTATCCCCCTTATGTATGCTAGGAGGCAGTTGAACAGTCTTGGGCCCCGGACACTTTGTGTTGCTTCTCAATGTACTCGTGGCGCCCCTGCTTTTGACTGGGGGCATGTTACATTTCCTGCCGAGTCTTTTGTTTTCATCGGCCAAAGACTGCAAACCTCACTCAAGGGAAAGGATCTTGGGGCGAGTATAATACCGAGCACATCTCCTGAGGTGCACATCAACCAGGTAACTGCTGCAGCATATGGGCACCTGCCACACCTGAGATCAGCATTCTGATACCTCAGTAAGGAATCGTTCAAGACTCTGTACTCTGTGTACGTCAGACCCATACTGAAGTATGCAGCACCAGTTTGGAACCCACACCTGGTCTAGCACGTCAAGAAATTAGAGGAAGGGCAAAGGTTTGCAACAAGACTAGTCCCGGAGGTAAGGGGGTATGTCCTATGAGAGTTTAAGGAAACTACCCGAGGACACTGAAGGATAGGGGGTATATGATAACGATGTATAAAATACTGAGAGGAATTGAAAAGGTGAGCAGGGCCAGAATGTTGCAGAGATGGGATACAGGAACAAGAGTGCACAACTGGAAGTTGAAAACTTAGAAGAGTCACAGGGATGTTAGGCAGGATTCTTCGGCCTTAGAGTTGTCAGGAAGTGGAATATGGAGCCGGGAGAGAATGGACCTATGTAGCAGCAATCAGCGAAGATGTAGGGCCAGGAACTAACTCGAGTACACACACATTTGCAATTAACATTGATTACTATCCATATTCGAGCTCACACTCGTAGGGTACTGACCTGAGATGCTAATGGGGTACTACCAGTGTACTGACCTGGAACACTGCCGGGGGGATGGACAGCTTTGTGAGGCTCAGTGGGGAGGTCATGCAAATCGGAGGAGGCACGGCGAAGCTTCGGGGTTTTCACTACTTCGCGCCAGTACCGAACAGTGTCCTCGAAGACCCATGACACCTGTGTGCGAGTGTCTATATGTAAGTGCATGTACATGGGAAGGAAAAATTAGCAGATCTCATTCTATATGAAGGCGATTGGTCAAGGACTAAACTCTAGTTTTGCTTAAAATTTACAATTGCAATTGATGTAAGTTTGAAGCTTTGATGTAATTGAGGGAACAGCCGGATGCCATTGTAATGTCAACATCGTTTTAGGATGGTTTACAATTTTAAGTCCAACGTTCTCTATTCAAGGGAGGTGCCCGATACCGGCGAGGGGGCTCTTGATCCAAGGAACTTGTCCAGTCCTGCCCTTCCCTTCATAAAACCTGACAGCTTACCAGTTTCCAGACGCTCTATGACCCTTAACGTACCTTGTTTAATACCATCTCTTACCTAGTAACCAGTGAAATGAAATTTCTTATATATTTTACATTTTTGGTCTATGCTTTTAACTGGTGACATCATCCAAACTGGTGTAGTTCTATCATTTTCTCTTATTTTTGGTATGTTGTCCCTCTTAACGTTCAATTTTTTTTTTAAATAAATTTCACATTTCCTCTGTTGTGTCTAGTCGTCTATCTCTGTATTCCTTAATGGCAGCCTTGTATATTTTAGTATTTCTAACAAACTCTTCTTGAAATTATTTAGATTTATGAAAATGTCCTACTAGGCCTCTTATTACATTCATGGGGAAGGACTAAAACCATGCTATTTAATATTCTGATTAATGCTCTCCTAAATGCTCTACCTGCCTCACCTAAACATATAGCTATAAGCTATGCTGATGATATCATGATCCATACAACAGGGCATAAGAAGATGAATACCATTCTTAATGAAGTTCAAGCAATTTGTAATCGACTAGGCCTCATAATATCTTCCTCTAAAACAAAGATATTAACAAGCAAACGACATCCCCCACCCATCTATTTGCAGGGTGAAATCATTAGCTACGTTAAAACTTACAGACATCTTGGTGTAGATGTACCCTTTAACAAATCCACTATACCACAACTAAACAAGAAATGCAAAGCTAGGCTAAATGCTCTCAAAGCTGTTGCTGGCTATAATCCCAACTATGGTGCTAATGTGAGAATCGTGAGAATGATGTACATAGCCTATGTTAGGTCCTTAACTGATTATGCTGCTCCCATGTTGATATTAGAGAAAGTTCTCTCCGACCCTTGGAGTTAATGCAAAATGAAGCTCTCAGGATTATTCTTGGCTGTCCCAGATCTAAAAAAGTTCTTAACATGAGGAAGGAGCTTGGTATTTCTAGTATCAGTGATAGGATTATTGAGATTAACACTACTCGGTATTAGAATGTTGAGAAACGAACCAGACACTGTCACAATGAACCTTACCAAGTGTCTTAGAGGTAAATACCACAGATCTAAATGGATTGTGAAAACGTGCAATTACATCAAGTTTTATAACCTGTATGAACTGTATCACTGTAGGCAAGAGCATTTCACCCCTCCGTGGAAGATGTGTTCATTTAATATCACATACCTACAAGTCCCTCCCAAGAAGCTCATTGCTAGTAATCCCTTCCTTAAATCTCTTGTTAGAGCAACTGCTCAAGAAGAAATTTCTCACCTAGCTGGTAGTAATAAGTTATCACAAGTTATATACACTGATGGATCTAAACAGGAGTCTTCTGGCAGGGCTGCATCTGCTCTTGTTGCCACCTCCCTAGTTAAGAACGATAATAAATTTGTTGAGTTAGGCATAAGAATTAACAACTGGGCGTCTGCACTGCAAACTGAATTGTTTGCAATCCTAATGGCGCTAAAGCTAACCTATGACACCGAGCTTGACCATCATCATTACTGATTCTATGTCATCATTGAAGGCTCTTGACTCATATAATGACTCCAACAACATGCTCATTGGAGAAGCCAGGTACAGATACTCAAAAATTAGGGACAAAGGAATTAATGTACAATTGCTATGGATCCCATCACACATTGGATTACTCCTTACCTGGAGTTTACCTGGAGATAGTTCCGGGGGTCAACGCCCCCGCGGCCCGGTCTGTGACCAGGCCTCCTGGTGGATCAGAGCCTGATCAACCAGGCTGTTACTGCTGGCTGCACGCAAACCAACGTACGAGCCACAGCCCGGCTGGTCAGGAACCGACTTTAGGTGCTTGTCCAGTGCCAGCTTGAAGACTGCCAGGGGTCTGTTGGTAATCCCCCTTATGTATGCTGGGAGGCAGTTGAACAGTCTCGGGCCCCTGACACTTATTGCATGGTCTCTTAACGTGCTAGTGACACCCCTGCTTTTCATTGGGGGATGTTGCATCGTCTGCCAAGTCTTTTGCTTTCGTAGCGAGCGATTTTCGTGTGCAAGTTCGGTACTTGTCCCTCTAGGATTTTCCAGGTGTATATAATCATGTATCTCCCGCCTGCGTTCCAGCGAATACAGGTTTAGGAACCTCAAGCGCTCCCAGTAATTGAGGTGTTTTATCTCCGTTATGCGCGCCGTGAAGGTTCTCTGTACATTTTCTAGGTCAGCAATTTCACCTGCCTTGAAAGGTGCTGTTAGTGTGCAGCAATATTCCAGCCTAGATAGAACAAGTGACCTGAAGAGTGTCATCATGGGCTTGGCCTCCCTAGTTTTGAAGGTTCTCATTATCCATCCTGTCATTTTTCTAGCAGATGCGATTGATACAATGTTATGGTCCTTGAAGGTGAGATCCTCCGACATGATCACTCCCAGGTCTTTGACGTTGGTGTTTCGCTCTATTTTGTGGCCAGAATTTGTTTTGTACTCTGATGAAGATTTAATTTCCTCGTGTTTACCATATCTGAGTAATTGAAATTTCTCATCGTTGAACTTCATATTGTTTTCTGCAGCCCACTGAAAGATTTGGTTGATGTCCGCCTGGAGCCTTGCAGTGTCTGCAATGGAGGACACTCATGCAGATTCGGGTGTCATCTGCAAAGGAAGACACGGTGCTGTGGCTGACATCCTTGTCTATGTCGGATATGAGGATGAGGAACAAGATGGGAGCGAGTACTGTGCCTTGTGGAACAGAGCTTTTCACCGTAGCTGCCTCGGACTTTACTCTGTTGACGACTACTCTCTGTTCTGTTAGTGAGGAAATTATAGATCCATCGACCGACTTTTCCTGTTATTCCTTCAGCACGCATTTTGTGCGCTATTACGCCATGGTCACACTTGTCGAAGGCTTTTGCAAAGTCTGTATATATTACATCTGCATTCTTTTTGTCTTCTAGTGCATCTAGGACCTTGTCATAGTGATCCAATAGTTGAGACAGACAGGAGCGACCTGTTCTAAACCCATGTTGCCCTGGGTTGTGTAACTGATGGGTTTCTAGATGGGTGGTGATCTTGCTTCTTAGGACCCTTTCAAAGAATTTTATGATATGGGATGTTAGTGCTATCGGTCTGTAGTTCTTTGCTGTTGCTTTACTGCCCCCTTTGTGGAGTGGGGCTATGTCTGTTGTTTTTAGTAACTGTGGGACGACCCCCGTGTTCATGCTCCCTCTCCATAGGATGGAAAAGGCTCGTGATAGGGGCTTCTTGCAGTTCTTGATGAACACTAAGTTCCATGAGTCTGGCCCTGGGGCAGAGTGCATGGGCATGTCATTTATCGCCTGTTCGAAGTCATTTGGCGTCAGGATAACATCGGATAGGCTTGTGTTAACCAAATTCTGTGGCTCTCATAAAAAATTCATTTTGATCTTCGACTCTCAGTCTGGTTAGCGGCTTGCTAAAAACTGAGTCATATTGGGACTTGAGTAGCTCACTCATTGCCTTGCTGTCATCTGTGTAGGACCCATCTTGTTTAAGTAGGGGCCCAATACTGGACGTTGTTCTCGACTTTGATTTGGCATAGGAGAAGAAATACTTTGGGTTTCTTTCGATTTCATTTATGGCTTTTAGTTCTTCCCGCGATTCCTGACTCCTATAAGATTCCTTTAGCTTAAGTTCGATGCTTGCTATTTCTCTGACCAGTGTCTCCCTACGCATATCAGATATATTGACCTCTTTTAGCCGCTCTGTTATTCTTTTCCGTCGCCTGTAAAGGGAGCGCCTGTCTCTTTCTATTTTACATCTACTACTCCTTTTTCTGAGAGGAATAAGCCTTGTGCATACATCGAGTGCCACCAAGTTAATCTGTTCTAGGCATAAGTTGGGGTCTGTGTTGCTTAGTATATCTTCCCAGCTTATATCGGTTAGGACTTGGTTTACTTGGTCCCACTATGTTTTTGTTATTGAAGTTGAATTTGGTGAATGCTCCCTCGTGACTAATCTCATTATGTCGGTCTGGGGCTCCACGCATACATGTCTGAACCTCAATTATGTTGTGATCCGAGTATATTGTTTTTGATATGGTGACATTTCTTATCAGATCATCATTGTTAGTGAAGATGAGGTCTAGTGTATTCTCCAGTCTAGTAGGCTCTATTATTTGCTGGTTTAAATTGAATTTTGTGCAGAGATTTAAAAGCTCGTGTGAATGTGAGTTTTCATCAGAGCTACCTCCTGGTGTTATTACTGCAACAATATTATTTGCTATATTCCTCCATTTTAGGTGCCTTAAGTTGAAATCCCCCAGGAGCAAGATGTTGGGTGCAGGAGCTGGAAGATTTTCCAGACAGTGGTCAATTTTTAACAGCTGTTCCTGGAATTGCTGGGATGTTGCATCTGGAGGCTTGTAGACTACCACAATGACTAGGTTTTGGTTCTCGACCTTTACTGCTAAAACTTCCACTACATTATTTGAGGCATTAATCAGTTCTGTGCAAACAAGTGACTCTGCAATGTACAGGCCAACCCCCCCCCCCTTTTGCCTGTTCACTGTCACATCTGTATAGGTTGTAACCTGGGATCCATATTTCGTTGTCCAAGTGATCCTTTATGTGGGTCTCAGTGAAAGCCGCGAACATTGCCTTTGCCTCTGCAAGCAGTCCACGGATGAAAGGTATTTTGTTTGTTGCTAGCTTTAGACCCTGTATATTTGCAAAGAATGTCATCGGACTGGTGGTATTGTTGGTACTGGGGGGGGGATTTTTTTCCGGCATTAGTATCTGTTTCTGTTGGTTTGGAGTGGAGGCCATCGACTGTGGTTCCACTCCAGGAATGACTGGAATTGGTGTACGATTTCTGCCATTTCCTGCCAGTTTTTTTTCCTTCCTGGCACTAAAAAACCTCTCCCTCTTGAGTGGCTGTGGCTACCCAGGTTTTCCCATGGCCTGGATGTTTTGTATCTTTTTGTCCCCTTTAGATGGTGTGTCTGGCAATTTAAGTTATAGCACAGTCTTTCCTGTACTGAAGAGGTACACATTTCAGGGTGAAAAAGCTTACAGGAAGGGAGTTTGCATTTTCCTGTTGTCATATGGGCACGGCATTTTCTAGGGTGGTCATAGTTGCACGTCCCATCTGTTTTTCCAGATTTCCCATGCCTGCAGATACCAAGTGCATAGTATGTGCACAGGCTTGGTTTCCGTTTGCCTTGGGTTTCTGTGACTGTATTCCCTGTTGGTGCATGTTTACCTGTCTTATTCCCTAGCACCAACAATGGAGCTCCCACCAGTTGTTTTTGGTAATATATCCTCACTATTGCTAGTGGAGTCCTCTTGTTCGCTATTTCCTGTGGTATTTCTAGTTTGCAATATTGGTTTTATCTTATCTTTGACTACACTTGTTTCCCCACTACGGCTCCTGTCCCCTATGAGGTCATTTATATGTATTCCTTCCTGCGTAAAATTCCCGACTACCCGGACAAAATCTCCAGCTTCACCATTACTGTCTCCCAGGACAGCACCTCCCGCTTCACATTACTGTCTCCCAGGACAGCACTCCAGCTTCACCATTACTGTCTCCCAGGACAGCACCTCCAGCTTCACCATTACTGTCTCCCGGGGACAGCACCTCCAGCTTCACCATTACGTCTCCCAGGCCCGCACCTCCAGCTTCACCATTACTGTTCCCAGGACAGCACCCCCCAGCTTCACCATTACTGTCTCCCGGGGAACAGCACCTCCAGCTTCACCATTACTGTCTCCCAGGACAGCACCTCAGCTTCCCCAAATTACTGTCCCCCAGGACAGCACCCCCAGCTTCACCATATTTTCTCCCAGGACAGCACCTCCAGCTTCACCATTACTGTCTCCAGGAGCACCTCCAGTTTCACCATTACTGTCCTCCCAGGACGCACCTCCAGCTTCACCATACTGTCTCCCAGGACGCCCTCCAGCTCCCCATTATGTCTCAGGACAGCACCCCGCTCACCATACTGTCCCCGGGACGCACCTCCCTTCACCTTACGTTCCCAGGACAGCACCTCCAGCTTCACCATACTGAAGAATAGACACTTATCGCATATGGGAATCTTTGTCAGGAAACGTTTCGCCACACGTGGCTTCATCAGTCCAATACAAAGGGGAAAGGCGTAGGGAGAGGAGGGAGAATGAGGTAATCAGTCCCTCAACCTGGAGTCGATGTGTTCAGTCCTTTAATCTTGTAGAATGTACAGCATAGGGCCGTAGAGTGGCTTATATTACTGCAGCATCATGGGATCTTGTTACAAGAAATTTTCAACACTTGTTCAACCTTTGGACCCAAGACCTACTTCGACTAGTGGATGGTACCACTATGACCCCGCCTCCACCTGCTTCACGTCACCTCACTACAGTATATAAGCCACGTCTACGGCCCTATGCTGTACATTCTACAAGATTGATGGACTGAACACATCGACTCCAGGTTGAGGGACTGATTACCTCATTCTCCTCCTCTCCTTACGCCTTCCTCTTTGTATTGGACTGATGAAGCCACTGTGTGGCGAAACGTTTCCTGAATAAAGATTCCCATATGCTGCATAAGTGTCTCATTCTTCAACTTGTCGGTTTTTCAAACCATTCATCACACACATTCACCATTACTGTCTCCCAGGACAGCACCTCCAGCTTCACCATTACTGTCTCCCAGGACAGCACCTCCAGCTTCACCATTACTGTCTCCCAGGACAGCACTATCAGCCCCCCATTTACTGACTACCAGGACATCATCTCCAGCCTTACAGTTTCTGACTACATGGCCAGTATTAAGGGCAGTACCATTCAGCCCAGACTTTTTATGTTCCCATCTGTTGTAGAAAGCTTCCAGGTTGTCTATGAAAGCAGCTTTGATGTTACTCTTTTAATACCCTTGTGATTTTAGTCCACAGATTTATCTCATTTGGGCATACCCAAAAACACTTCCCTGTTTTAACGCTGCTTGTAGCTAGTTCTTGGATATCTGCACAAGGGGCGTGACACCAATTTCCACAAAAATGACAATTTATCAATGTGGAAGCCCGTTTGTTTGATTGACTGCAGACTACACAGGGCTTCATAATGATTTGAATGGTTGATTTACTGTAATTCTACTAGCAACCTCTTGAATATGTTAGCCAAGAAGAGTACCCAGAAGGAGAATGTAGAATATAACTTTGGTATAACTGTGTCTAGCATTAGGAATAATATTAGGAGAGAAGTAAATAATGAAGATGATTGTTATAGGAATGCAGTTAGAAGCCTGAGTAGATCTATAACCCACTATGATAACATGAACGTAGATAAGTATGTTTATGGAGCAACTTGCAATGTGAACAGACTGACTGATGTTGTAGTGGCCAGGCTTAGGCTTGGTTACAAGTACTTCTGGCAGTTTGGGACAAAGACACACAGATGGTGGCCTGGTGGCTAAAGCTCCCGCTTCACACACGGAGGGCCCGGGTTCGATTCCCGGCGGGTGGAACCATTTCGACACGTTTCCTTACACCTGTTGTCCTGTTCACCAAGCAGCAAATAGGCACCTGGGTGTTAGTCGACTGGTGTGGGTCGCATCCTGGGGGACAAGATTAAAGACCCCAATGGAAATAAGTTAGACAGTCCTCGATGACGCACTGACTTTCTTGGGTTATCCTGGGTGGCTAACCCTCCGGGGTTAAAAATCCGAACGAAATCTTATCTTATCTTATGATGATCAAACTGTGTAAATTATGTGATCAGGCATATGGTCACTGTCTTACTGTCTTGAACACTATGTGCTTAATTGTCCACTTATTGAAGAATACGGAGACAGTATAATAACCTATGTGACATGTCAAGATATCTTATTAATGAAAATAAGATACCAGATATACTAAGCAAATTTCCTAAATTTGCTTGTAACAGATAAGTGAACTATAGATATGTAGATATAAATCCATATGTATTCCTGTTAACCCTTTGGGGCCTAGTTCCTGGGCCTTTTGTGTATCCATATGCTCTTGCGCTACCGTCCACAGGATGGATATGGGGTGCACAATAAACTAGCCACTTCGGTGGCAAAATCTAAAAATCTAATCAATAAAGCCATACACACCACCTGAAGAAAACGGCTGAGGTAGGGGTAACTAAGTTGGATCCGTTAAAGAAAGCACAACTACGGTCACCTGCATCAAACAACTCTGTAGCAGCATCAGAAGGATCTAAAACCTGAGTCTTACTTTTTCTTTATTGCTCTGTCATTCTCTGGTGAGTGTGGCACTCACAGTCTTCCTACTTATAATACGCCTCACTTCGTAAACTCACCTCATCGATGCTCTCTCTGACGGAGACCTCATGGAAGGCTTGACAGCCTATGTCTCTGCTGCGCTTGAAACCCTCCTGAGTGTCGACCATCCTGTCTCCAGACTGGTCCTTCTTGTTTCCCACCAACACCACTGGTACCTCCCAACACCCGTCCTGATCATTATTAACCCATTAAAGGACTTTTTTTTAGGAATTGGCTATATATCGATATATTTTTATATGACTGATAAAAGGAGTTATTTATGTATGAATGAATTTAAACATGAAACTTTTCAGAAAGGAGTATTTGATACTTTTAGAACCGTCCTTGGAATACAGAAAATAGATAACAAAAAGGCACAATACCGTGACTGGAACAAGACACAAATAACCTACACGTAAGCTCTCTCTCTATGGCGGGTTATTTATATACAGGAAATAGGACTTGCAGAATTATCTTCCGCCTTGTAGCACGGTAAAATATGGAACTGCCAGTTGAAAGAAAAATAGCTAATATAAATAATCCAACTTTTCCATAATTCACGTAAATCTAATTTAGATCAACCTAATGCACTGGAAGAGAATTCTCATGCTGAAATTTCCAATCAAAAATATTATATAAAAAAATTACTAGAAATTTGAGCAGCAAAACCACTACAGCCTCCTGGACTTGAGTCCTGGAGGTGGGAAAGCAGTGCTTGCACTCTGGAGGGTCATGCGAACTGTGATGTCGGTGTCCTTGCAAGACAGTGACTGAATGAGTGACAGTTTTCTCTGTCGGGTTACCCTACCTCTGTGGGAGACGGCCGGTGTTAAAAATAATCAGGTTAATAACAGCCTGGTTGATCAGGTAAGCACGGACAAGCTTGACCAGGGCTAGGAAAGCTCTCGAAAGCTATGAAAAGTAAAGGTATCAGAAAACTTGCATTAAGGATTCTTCGTGCTTTTACACTTGTCACCATTCTTTGGTTTTAGAAATATTACAGCCTGTATTGATAGTTAAAATGGGTGTAAGTCGACAGGTAACGAGATTGACAATAACTGTTAGGAAACATGTTCACCCAGATTATTATAATCAAAAAGAAGCGCTAAGCCACAAGGGCTATACAGCACCCAGAACTGCAATATATCATGTATGCAAAAAACACACATCGCTTTATATGGCAAACCTTAATTATTAACTCTCTTGACCTCTCCCGAGCCTGCCCTCAGGGTGATTATTTACCGCTGAATGTGATAAGTGTATTTTTTGTATGAGATAAAATAAGAGTTTGTTCGGATTTTTAACCCGGAGGGTCAGCCACCCAGGATAATTCAATCATGTCAGTGCATCATCGGGGACTCTTGTGATTTCCGCTGGGGCCCTTTTATCTTGTCCCCCAGGATGCAACCCGCAACAGTTGACTAACACCCAGGTACCTACTGTAGACAGCATGTACTGTCTGCTAGTTTCATATCCCGCGGCACTACGGTGCTGCCCTCTCTAGGCCTGCCCAGGTCAGCGAGACGCGGAGCCTACCAGGTCTCACTTCAGGCCTACCCCCACAGGTTCAACAACCTTCCCTCCACGGACTGGCTATCGGTCATCCCCTCACTTTGTCCGCTGTGTACTCACTCCTTTTTAATTAAAGCCAAACTAGTCTATGGCCGTATCTCTGCAACCTTCACTACCCTTCGGCACTAAACTGCTGTTCAACAGCAAGAACAGCATTAACACTACTTACTGCTAGGTAAACAGGAGCAGCAGGTGTAAAGAAACATACCTATCATTATACCCATGGCCTGGTCCATGGCCAGGCCTCCCGGTGGATCAGGGCCTCATCAATCAGGCTGTTACTGCAGGTCGCACGCAGTTCAATGTACGAAACACAGCTTGGCTGGTCAGGTACTGACTTTAGACCCCTATCCAGTTTCCTCTTGAAGACGGTTAAGAGTCTATTGATAACCCCCCTCCTATGTACGATGGAAGGCTGTCTGTTGAATAGTCTTGGGTGCTTTACATGTATTGTGTTCTCTAGCAGTGTATCCATGGCAACCCTGCTTTTCACTGGGGTATATTACAATGTCAAGCATTTTTGGTTTCGGAGGGTTAGTGTACAGCAGTATTCCAGCCTAGAGAGAACACGTAACTAAGAGGATCATTTAGAGCTTCCCCACGAAAATAATTTAACACTGTCAGCTGGCCACCTTGTGGCTGGAGCTCCTCACCTTGGAGGTCGGGCTGGGTATGCGTCTCTTGCGCTTGTTGTAGTTGATGAGAAACTTGAGTCTGTTGCAGTCATCGAAGCTGCACTTGTCAGTCACCGAGTACATTAAGACGAAGACGTCAGCCCAGCGGATGTTAGCTTCAAGACGCACGCTGTCTGTCTCCTACGGAATAAGTGGTATTACTTCACCAAACTAATTTATATTAATAAAACAATAGCTAAACCCGTATGATTCACACAGCAACTAAACTGGGTATTTTCCAAGTTTGTTGTTACACTATTCTGTACAAGTTACATGATGGGAATACCCAAAGTATGCAGCTCCCTGTTACACGAGTTACACTGTGGGAACATCTGCAGTGTGCCATTACTTAATTCTAATAGTTACATTCAAATTCAAAGTTTATTCTCTATAAGGATTACAATGCTGAGTTTACAGAAATTTGGTTATTGTGTGGTTTACATGTAGTAAAATTGTGATTACAGAGTGTACCACTAGAACGCTTAGCATGGCTAGGCATTTCGGGCAGACTTAGTTTTATTCTTAATTGTAAAATATTACAAAATGAGGTAAGTTGGTATTATGGCTAAGTGACTAAATACTAGTTTGTGAGTTTAGCAATGTGAATACTTTTGTTTTGGCACAGTACATAGTTTCAGTATTGGAGTATCACAGGATTCATTATTTTAAGACTGAGATTAATATTTCTGTTTATGGTCAAATGAGTGAGTGAGTGTAAGTGTGAACCATGGTAAGTGTGAACATGGTGGAACACCTGCAGTGTGCGGTGACCACATTATAAAAGTTACCTTGTGTTAACGCCCGCCTTGTGTGGCTATCTTATTCTGCCAGATACATGGTGAGAACACCCAAACAATATCCAGTTACTCTACTGTTTTTAAGTTATAGTATGGGAACACCCACAGCGTGCGGCTGCCCTATTTAAGTCACGGGGTGGGAATAACAAAAAAAACTTACAGCATACGTATATTAGTCAAAAATATGAATATGCGCAGGCAGTGTGTTTGCTCGGTATTCACAACATAAAACACCTGGATTCTTAGAAAAGATTATTAGAAAAGCTACAAAATGGCTATGAAATAAAGTATTAAATCATGAAGAAAGGCTGAGCACAAAAGATGGCCGCCACGCTGGCTGAGAACAAGGAAAACAAACAAACAGCCACATAAAAACAGAAAAAAAAACTTACTACTAGCAGCCGGCTTAAGAAGCCACAGTTGTAAATTGAAGACAAAAAGTGAAGCCGACGCATAATTGAAAAATTTCTTAGCAAAAAGAGTGGTTGACCAATGGCATGATTTAAAGTAGTGGAAATTTAAAAAAATACAATTTATATAATATATATATATATATATATATATAGTATATATATATATATATATATATATAATATATATATATATTTTATATATATATATATATCGTGCCCAACAGGTAAAACTGGTCAACTAGCAAGAACTCTTTTAAAATTAAGTTTTAAAATTTTCTCTTACACGTTTCATATGTTTTTTAATTTATGTTAATGTAAAAATTAATAATTTTGTACCAAAAAAACCTTAGAAAACTTACCTAACCTTATTATAACAAGCGCAATTTATTTTAGCTTAATTTTCCTATTTGGCACATGTACACACACACACACACACACACACACAATTCCGACACCTTAGTAAGGAATCATTCAAGACACTGTACACCGTGTATGTCAGGCCCATACTGGAGTATGCAGCACCTGTTTGGAACCCGCACTTGATAAAGCACGTCAAGAAACTAGAGAAAGTACAAAGGTTTGCAACAAGGTTAGTTCCAGAGCTAAGGGGAATGTCCTATGAAGAAAGATTAAGGGAAATCGGCCTGACGACACTGGAGGACAGGAGGGTCAGGGGAGACATGATAACGACATATAAAATACTGCGTGGAATAGACAAGGTGGACAAGGACAGGATGTTCCAGGGAGGGGACACAGAAACAAGAGGCCACAATTGAAGTTGAAGACACAAATGAGTCAGAGAGATATTAGGAAGTATTTCTTCAGTCATAGAGTTGTAAGGCAGTGGAATAGCCTAGAAAATGACGTAGTGGAGGCAGGAACCACACACAGTTTTAAGACGAGGTTTGATAAAGCTCATGGAGCGGGGAGAGAGAGGGCCTAGTAGCAACCGGTGAAGAGGCGGGGCCAGGAGCTAGGACTCGACCCCTGCAACCACAAATAGGTGAGTACAAATAGGCGAGTACACACACACACACACACACACGGTTATGCGAATGACATTCCAGAGGAGATCGATTCAGATATATTCTTTGCCGATGATGTAAATTTAAGAGAATAAAAACAGATGAAGGCAAGGAAAGGCTCAGTGGACAAACTGTTAAAATGCCCAGATAAGTAGTTGCTTAAATTCAACCCCAGTAAATGAAAGGTCGTGAAGACTGGGGTAGGAGCAACTGGACCGGAAACTGGGTATGGGCTAAACGAACACAGAGGCTGCAGACTTAGGAGTAAGCATAGCTCTTGGTATATCACCAGAGGCTCACTTCAGCTGAATAACCTCTGCAGCCAACTTTCGTCTGGCAAATCAAAGATTAGCCAGACCCCTGCAACCACAAAAAGGTGCGCACACAAACCTAGTAGACTAGTGAAGAGGTGGGGGCCAGGAGCTGTGCCTAGACCCTTGTAACCACATAGGTGTGCACGCACGCACGCGCACACATGCTTGCACGCACGCGCGCGCACACACAAGGTGGACCGAGAAATGTTCCAGAGATGGGACACAGCAACAAGGGGACACAGTTGGAAGTTGAAGACTCGGATGAATCACAGGGATGTTAGGAAGTATTTCTTCAGTCACAGAGTAGTTAGGAAGTGGAATGGTTTGGGAAGCGATGAAGTGGAGGCAGGATCTATTCATCATAGCTTTAAGCAGAGGTATGATAAAGCTCATGGTGCAGGGAGAGTGACCTAGTAGCGGCCAATGAAGAGTGGCCAGGAGCTATGAATCGACCCCTGCAACCACAACTAGGCGAGTACAACTAGGCGAGTACAACTAGGCGGGTACACACACGCGCACACACGCGCACACACGCACACGCACGCACACACACGCACACGCACGCACGCACACACGCACACACACACACACCTGGCCATCACCTCCCAGCAACGCCAGAATATTTACTACTCAGTAACCAAATTCACTCATCCACGAGGAAGTCAAGAGCATCGTCTCTTAACTCATGGACACCTATACTGTATATCGGACAACAACAACCCCCCCCCCCCGTCTCTCTCTCTCTCTCTCCCCCCCCATGCGCAAAACGCAGATATATTTCATCAAGTATTGGCTATTATTAGTCAAAGAATAACTGGCAAAGTGGGGAGATGGATCTTCAACTTCCTAACCAATCGAACACAAAGAGTAATGGTCAACAGAGTTAAATCGGAGGCTGCCATAGTGAAGAGCTTTGTTCCACAAGGCACAGTACTCGCCCCCATCCTGTTCCTCATCCTCATATCAGACATAGACAGAGATGTAACCCACAGCACCGTATCATCCTTTGCATACGATACTAGGATCTGCATGAGGCTGTCATCTATTGAGGACGCGGTTAACCTCCAAGAAGACAGTTTTCCATTGGGCAACGGAAAACAATATTATGTTCAATGAGGACAAATTCCAACTATTCCGTTATGGAAAACTGGAGGAGATAATAAAGAACAGAGTATACTACAGACTCTGGCCATACAGTAGAACGAAAAAATAATGTAAGGGACCTGGGAGTAGTAATGTCTGAGGATCTCACTTTCAAGGATCACAACAGTGCCACGATCACAAGTGCAAAGAAAATGATAGGATGGATAGTGAGAACGTTCAAAACTAGAGATGCTAAGCCAATGATGATCCTTTTCAAATCACTTGTTCTCTCTAGGCTGGAATACTGCAGTACATTAACATCTCCATTCAAAGCAGGTGAAATTGCAGATCTAGAGTGTACAGAGATCCTTTACTGCACGTATAAGTTCTGTCAAGCACCTTAACTACTGGGAACGCTTGGAAGCACTTGATTTGTACTCTTTGGAACGCAGGAGGGAGAGATATATCATAATCTACACTTGGAAAATCCTAGGAATGGTCCCGAATCTGCACCCACAAATCACTCCCTACGAAAGTAAAAGACTGGGCAGGCGATGCAAAATACCCCCAATTAAAAGTAGGGGCGCCATTGGTACACTAAGAGAAAACACCATAAGTGTCCGGGGCCCAAAACTGTTCAACAGCCTCCCATCAAGCATTAGGGGAATTACCAATAAACCCCTGGCTGCCTTCAAGAGAGAGCTGGACAGATACCTAAAGTCAGTGCCGGATCAGCCGGGCTGTGGCTCGTACGTTGGACTGCGTGCGGCCAGCAGTAACAACCTGGTTGATCAGGCCCTGATGCACCGGGAGGTCTGGTCGTGGACCGGGCCGCGGGGGCGTTGATCCCCGGAATAACCTCCAGGTAAAGAACATGTGGTAAAGGTAGAGGTGGTAGAGCGGTGCTAGTAGGGGTATACAAGGTACTATTGTAGGCGAGGTTGTAAAACTGAAGTCAACCTTGACGCAACAGGTTAGTTTCCTTTAAACTTTTGGGAAGGTGATCAGTGTGTGCTACGGCGTTATATATGTTGAATGTGAATTCTGCATATATACATTATGACAACTACACACTGCAACAAAACCCATCAAATATAGGCTGAACTATGATAAGTTGGGCACGGCTGAAATGCCTTGCATTAATAAGGTGAGTAGTCTTTTTTCTGCGATCTGTTTATGCTTGTGAATATTTATGACGCTGTGTGTATGTACGGGTACGTGTGGGGGGGACCTTTAATATTTATGACGCTACTGTATGGATGTACGGGTACATGTGTGAGAGCCTCTAATATGACGCTTGTGTGTGTATGTACGGGTACATGTGTGAGGGCCCTCTAATATGACGGTGTGTGTATGTACGGGTACGTGTAGGGGGGACCCTCTAATATGACGCTACTATGTACGGGTACGTGTGGGGGGACCTCTAATACGACGATACTGTGTATGTACGGGTACGTGTGTGGGGGACCTCTAATATGACGCTACTGTATGTACGGGTACGTGTGTGGG